TGAGAAAGACAGACCAGCTGCCTCTTGCACACCCCCCACTGGGGATGTGCTCGCAACCAATGTACATGCCTCTGACCGGATTGACATGAGCGACTTAAGGAGCCAAAGCGTGGTTGACTATTTTTCTTTTGATTCAATTCTCTATAGCCTCTGAAATTCCATCACTGTTACCTCATTTAACTGCTAAATATCATTTTTGTCTTATAACCACATTCTTTGGGAAAATAGTAAAATGTACATTCAAAGAAAGTTACCATGGAAGCATAATAAAAACACTTATACTACACTGCATATTAGAAAAAAAAATTAATCATATTATTAACAACAAAAAAGGGAATTTTGCTTTTTCCCTCTGAGTATTTCATGGCTGATGAGATTACTTTTACAAGAGGTGATAACTGCATTAGGGCCAAACGGAGCCTGTGAATCTGGTCTCCTTAGGTTCCAACCCTAGCTCTGTTCTAGCAACTTCTACAAGGCTATGAAAAACACTTTGGCAGTGTTTGAAAATGAAGGACTCATTTAAAAAATTAGCTATGTCATTGTCAATTAGGACGATACCATTTGGTGTTGGCTTCATTTAGTCCTGGAACACAGTGAAGAGAGTCTGAGAGAATCTCCCCTACAAAGCCAGGATTTATGTGATTTTTAAAAAGAAAAAGGTTTTCAATAATTTTAGAGCCCTGTTAAAATGTCTGCTTATAATTATCTTAATTAATTATACTACTTGGAATGGAAAACCTCAGACTTCCTTTTTGGGGTTGGGTAGATTTTTCATCAGTGTAACAGCCTGTTCCCATCATAACTCAGCATAGTTCCTCTTCTGGGCCATTTGTTTCAACCACTTGCCCCACCCCCAAAAAATCTCTTTTTAAAAATGCAAATATCTTTGAAGAGGGTTGAAAGTGTCACTGTATGAATGGTGATCATTATGAAGGTGAGAACACAGCTCTAGGCTATCCTTTCAGTGTCATTCCAGAAGCCCTCATATGGAGACGTTTACGTCTTGGAAAACTACCAGCGTCCCCTCCGCTTCACTGCCGAGGGAGCCAACAGAAACCAGCATGCTTCTTTTCCCACAAAAGCTCCTTTCCAACCTTGCAGCTGTCTACCACACAGACGTTTCACATCACTGTCCTGATGGCATTTTATGTTCTATGGACTCTCTTCTCCATGCTTCTGTGGGGAGACATCTGGCAGATTTTTCTAATAAAATATAAGAACCCTATTACCAGTGTGATAGTCAATTAGTTCTTCTAGATGAAATGTTTTATTCAGAAATAACTGTAAACATTGGAATCACAAATAAAGTGGATTCTCAGTGAGTTGATTCTATGTAACAGTTGGGGGGAAAAGTAAAGGTGGAAACAATGAGATTAAAATGCAAAACTTTTTAAAAAGCTTTATAAGTGAGTGAATGCTAACATATTCAAATTCAATAAACAGAAAACATGTTAAAAATATCAATAAGGGAAGAATACGTTTTGGTGCCTATACTCATTATGACCTAGGTCACACAAAAAATAAGCTGACCAACGGTTAGAAGGGCAGGCCAAATTTAAAAGTAAATAAATATTGGGCCTGGCTGGAGTGTCAGCCAGTGGACCAAAGAGTTAGGTTTGATACCTGGTCAAGAGCACATACCCCGGTTGCAGGCTCAATCCTAAATCCCCAGTCTGAGCACATGTGAGAGGCGACCAATCTATGTCTCTCTCACATTGCCGTTTTTCTCTCTCTCTCCCACTCCTCCCTACCCCTCCATTCTCTCTAAAACAATCAATGGAAAAAAAAAATGTCCTTGGGTGAGGATTTATAAAAATAAAAGTAAACAAATATGGAAGAAATAGCATATGAAGTGATGGGTACTTATTTATCCTTCTAAAATAGGTCACTAATTTAAGTTCCATATTTAATCAAACAGATGGCTATAAAAAAAAAAAAAAAGGAGGGCTCAAAGCAAGATCAGATAGATGATTAAAGGCTCAGACATTGAAATTTCAAAACAAGGAAATTATTTCAGTTAAGGAAGAAATTGAGGGACAATTGAACTATGTTCAATAAGAGAAACAGCTGTTACTTAGGTTTTGGTCTCCAATTTAAAAAGGAAAAATGGGCTCTAATTCTAATCCAATGGATTTATATAATTAGAAAAACTATCTGAGTGACGGTAATAAGATATTATAATGGGTTTTCTAGGAAACATGTTCAACTACCTGTCTAGAGAGCATTAATAACATCAAATGAGAGATTATCATGAGTCTTGAATGCTTTTGATTCATTTAAGTTTGGGGATGTATTGGGTGAGCTTTCAAAGCCCTGTATAACCCTCTGACTTTCACAGAACTCACTGAACTCTGAGGTCAGAGAAAGATCAAAAGTGCACAGTTTAGTTTAATTATTACAGGGGAAAACAAAAGAAAACTTTATTTTTACAACATAAATTTACTTGTATTTAAAATTTATTTGACAAGAATAGATTCTAACTATATTTATCACTAGCCATTATTAATGTTCTAATCAATTATTTTTTAAAGGAAAAGGAAATTATAGCAAAGTAAGGTTGGGTATTGTTCATTCACCAGGAATAGCTATAAAAACACTTCCTACATTTGGTAAAAGTAAACAAAAAAATATGGTGATATTTCTACATTCCTCTACATTACCAACCAACTGTACATCTTTGAAATCACTTTTGGAACTGTCACTAGAGCCACAATGCCTACAAAATTTACCCTACAGAATTTAGCCACTACTAAACTATGTGTGAAAAGTGAATGACAGTCAAGTTATTTGAGAATATTTTTAAGATTAATGTGTGTGTGTGTGTGTGTGTGTGTGTACACATCTTGATGCAGGGTGGGGCAAAAGTAGGTTTATAGCTGTTCATATGGAAAATAACATAATAATTAATAAGTAATAATACAATAATTATTAATTAATAATAATTTAAGTACTCATAACTGTAAACCTACTTCTGCTATACCGTATATATTAAAAGAATTTTTGAAAAATATATTAGCAATTTGGGAAAGCTGTTGGTATTTCATATGCTTTAAGAAAGGTTTTTATGTCATGATAACATTCTAAGATTTTTATGCACTGAATAAATTTTGAATATGATAGGGTCTTAAAGGTAGGGAAGAAATAAAGAAGAACCTAGCCTTTAGCTTAGGTTGGACAAAACCCAAAATTTGAACCATTATATTTGCAATATTTGCAAGTTATATATTCCCAAGTTATATATATTCAATTGAATGAGAGAAAACAATAGACCTAAACTTTCCATTTTTTTAAAAAGATTTTCATGTAGAGTTTTAGTAGGGGGTGTTTCTATTTGAATCCAAGTAGCTTGTTATTTCATACATTCGTGTGAATTCCTCATTTAAACAAATAATTTAAAACACATCAGGATGGATTATTCGTAGGTGCAGACAGGCTTTGGTTTAAACTTTACCTCTTGGAGAAAAAAAATGTTTAAAAGTTTTCTAGTGCCACAAGAAATATATGTAATCAAGGAATGTAGTGAAGTTGAAGAATTCTACTCTTTCCCTGATTTAACCTCTCTAACCCCTCTATCCCAACAAACACCAATCCAATTTTGTTCCTTAATCATGGCAGTCACAATGTAAAACTAATTATTGAGCCTGAATTACTTGAAAATCACTGTTATGAGAATGTGACTTAAAAGAATGTTTATCTTTCTACTTTTAGGAATAGGTTTTGTCATCATTGTTTGTTTTCCCAAAAATTAGCAAGAAAGACTTTCCTGTCGTTTCAGAGTTTAGAAACCAAAGCTAATATGTTCAGTGACTTTTCATTGCCCATTTGCATTGTGCTAATACACAACATGTAGCTTTACCACTCAGAAAGTTGAGGAGATCCAAGCAGAGGCCTCATAGTGGGAGGCAGTAATGTGTGAAATCACACCTTTCAATGGTACCAATATCTATTCTGCCGACTACTCAGATCCCAGCTGTCTTTTTGATTGATGAAGAATGCCTGTGTATTTCACTTTAGAAACCAATTACATTAGCTATTTTCTACTCATTTCAGTTACATATTGCTATAACAAGATGTATTAGAAGCTTGGTAAAAAAAAAAAAAAATTCACTCTATTTCAATATAACATAGCTTAATTCAAGGTCACCCAAAATTTTGGGAGATCTTTGTTTAGCTGTCACAATATACTAATAGACCTGACAGTAAATACTACCAGATTCTGGATTACTTCCTGGTTTAATTAAACATTCTACAAGTATGATATTATATCATGAAACTACTATTGATAAAATCATTTAAGATCACTTGAAATTTTTAAGTAAGTAAATATATCATGAATATTGAAAACTGTTATTTAACACCAATTTAAGTAGCAAACCTAATGAAGATAGCAAAAACCATATATTGTATGTCAATACGATTCTAGAGAATTATTATAAGACACATTTCCCTTACTTGAAACAAAATGGGATAAAAGAAGATTTTAATTTATAGCATGGTTCATTTTCAGACATTAATTGAATGCTATGATTATCTACATCAGTTCTAAGTACTCACCTGCAATTAATGAAATTTCAGTTCTCCACCATTTCAAAGAAAGACATACCAAACAAAGACAAAATAACAGACTCAAGGTCTCAACTCAGCCACAGTTGGCCTCAGCATTATAGCACCAATTATCTAATTGCATTTAAGGACTGAAATTAATATAAAATAATGACTCATACATGTGTTCTGTGGTGCAATGCGGCACCATTAAGACCTTAATTTGGCATTTTTTCATCCCCTTTAAAAAATCATTTGTCTAACTCCCCGATGTTTTAACCCTATCAGTGTTGCTCCATTTGCATGCTATGCTTTTGAAAATTACTGTACTGTTTCTATTTCATGCACACACTGCAAGATATGGGATCCATCCCATTGGCTAGGTGAACATCAATGCATGCCTTCGAAGTATGTTTTTAAAATCTATAACTTTTAAAAAGGTATCAAACACTTACGTTTAAAGCAGTAGGCATCAAATCTGCTATCAGGGGAAGGGAAGCCTGTCTGGTTCTCAAAACGATACAGGGTTCTCACCCCAAGTAAACCACCTCCACACTGGGCCTTGGCCACAGTCACAGGGTGGCGAACGCTGGCATCCATCAGCCACCCGTAATCGCACTGGTCAAAGCCGTTCCTCCAGGCCGCGTGGAGCTCCCCCACTGTCGCCAGCCGGGCCTCCTGGTTTTCACACTCTTCCTCGGCCTCCTTATAGGTGAACTTATTGGGGGCCGTGATGTGGAACACATCACCTGAAATGAGAAGAGGAGAAAAAAGCCCTAAGTTTTATTATTCATTCCTTGACAGTCTAGGGCAGTAGTCGGCAAACTCATTAGTCAACAGAGCCAAATATCAACAGTACAACAATTTGAAATTTCTTTTGAGAGCCACATTTTTTAAACTTAAACTTCTTCTAACGTCACTTCTTCAAAATAGACTCGCTCAGGCCGTGGTATTTTGTGGAAGAGCCACACTCAAGGGGCCAAAGAGCCACATGTGGCTCGAGAGCCGCGGTTTGCCAACCACTGGTTTAAAGTAATGGCGGGGGTGTGGGTAGGGAAGGGAAACATGTAATACTTTCCTATGGCACGGTACCAGCTTCTACACTTTAAAGCAGCAGACATAACGGTTATTTAATTTTGTTACCATTCACGCATGATAAGAAATAGCATAGCACGTAAGGGAAAAGTTTCATATGTACACTTTCGTAGCCAATGACTGGATACGAAAGTGTACATATGAAACTTTTGGCCTATGGGCACGTAGAAGTAGTTATTTGATAACAATGTCATGATCATGAAGATGAACAAACCTTTTCAAGCGGACCTTTGGAGTGTTGTCTAGGAAACGAGTTTCCTCTTTAAGGAAAGAGCCAGTGATGTACTTACTAACACTGCACGCTGGGCGGGGAACACTGTATTGAACTGTCACTGAGGCTGCTTCACTTCGTTTACCCTAAAATCAGTCATTCTCTGACCCTCCTTCTCATGTACCACTACCATCAAAGCGGATTAACTCCCATCCAAGCAAATAACAAAATAACAAAACCTCCAGGGTTTGAAGTCAGGAAGGGATAGAAGCAGAGTGGAGTGCCCTTGCCTGCCCTCCTGTCCCAGGCACAGGGCTGCAGGGTTTGGCATGGGGGTCATTGCTGCACATGGTCAGGACCAAGACCGAATGGGGACCATTAGCTCCCGCTCAGCCACCCAAAGGCTCCAAAGGTCCCCCAGGAGGAAGGGGAATCTTTTTTCCAACCTGCTCTGCGCAGGGGAGATACCTTGCAATCTGTCTGCCCAGAGGACTCCTTTCTCCGGTTCTCACAAAGACCCCACATGTTCTAGCTGACAGGGGCTCCAACGAGGTTTGAGAGACTCTTCTATCTGCTTATTGACTAACAACAAAAGACTGAACATTTACTTTGTTCATCCCCGGGCTCTATTAGTGGGGAATATGTTCATTGTCATTTTACGTGCATTAGTAAAATACTCTGGAAATGCCAGTTTATTTTATTGACATTTTCCTTGGATAAACTAACAAACCAATTGGCTGGAATCAATTCAATTCAAATGAAACGATGCTTTCCAGGCTTGAACACAAGTGGCCTTTTAAAAGACAGAGGCAGGATTAGAGAACAGCTAAGCAAATACAGCAGGCAGGAGGGAGAACATAAAATGAAAGGGAGAAGGAGCTAAAATATTGATAGCCCATCATTGTCGCAGCTGTGGGTCCTGTTTTCATCTCACTGAGGCCGCGTGCTGAGCCCAGGAGATATTAGACAACAGGGATTTCAGGGCTCTCACAATTTGGATCTTCTTCACCTGAAGATCCAAATTGTGAGAGCCCTGAACTTAGCTATAACAAGCAGTTGTTTAAAATGCAAAGAGCCATGGCTCTCTCTGTGTGACAGCTTTATAAAACAAGAAAAATCAGTCGTAGGAAAAATAGCAAAATCACACATATCAGCTTTTCTCACTATAAATCTAAAATTGCTACTGATGAAATTCGGCCAAATCCAAATAAGAGCTATTTGAAGAAGATGAAGAAAAATGACTTCTAGCAGACTGAAAAAAATAAGGTGGGAGGTGATTATGTTTGTCTTTAATGATCTAGTCTAGCAAATTCAAAAATACACTAGCCCAGCTTGCTGTCTCAGTGATTGAGCATCGCCCTATTAACCAGCAGGTCGCAGTTCAATTCCTGGTCAGGGCATATGCCAGGGTTGTAGGCTCCATCACAGGAAGGGTGGGGATGGGAGGGGGTGAAGGAGAATGCAGGAGGCAGCCAACCAATGATTCTCTCTCATCATTGATGTTTCTACCTCTCTCTCCCTCTCCCTTCCTCTCTGAAATCAATAAAAATATATTTTATCAATCAATAAATAAAAAAAACAGTATAAGAATATAAGTTCCCCCTGCCTTCCTTCAATATCACTCTCCTTAGTAAGGTTTAAGAGCATAAGGGTCACAATGCCAGTTACAGAGTATGCATTCCGCCTATTTGTTAAATAAGTGCCATTTCAAGTTCTCGTTAAGTAACAAGGTGCTCTTTCTCTCCCCTCCTTCCCAAGCAGCACATTAACTAAGGCTAATCCTGTGGCAGGGCTGCAGGGAGCTGCTGTCTGGGCAGGTGATTGATCTCACCTATGGGTTTGGCTCAGAGCTACAGGGGGGAAGGCAGACGGAGAGGCCGGTCTGAGCTGCCCTGAGCAGCCAGGTTCACTCTGCATTACACTTGCAGTAAGCCTGAAAGGAATGCAAGTGTGAAAGAGGGCAGCGTGCCAGCCCGCCTCCCTCCAAGGTGGGACGCGGCTCTGTTATTACAGCTGGCGTATCATTTGTGCTGCCTTCGTTTCCTGCAGGGCGAGGGGCTTCTACTCTGAGGCCAGACTACTGTTCCTCTTAGGTAACAGGAGTGGTCAGCCAACCAGAGCAGGGCCACCAAATATAATTAATTGAGTCAAACTGCTTCTCCAAACAGCTATGTTAGTTGATCTGTTAGGGGAAATCAACTTCCCCAAAGGTGGCCAGACCAAAGGGCTAATGAAGAAGAATGACGGCATGATCTCAGGGGTAACTGGTTTCCCGTCTCAAACAGCATCCGTGTTTGGGGTATGAAAGGAAAGAAAGGGTTCAGAAGGGGATGGCAAGTTAAAAAGAGAATTTTCTTCTTCTCATTATTATTATTTCATAAAAGTGTACTTAATGAAACTATATAGAAACTCTTGTTAAATCTGACTTTATGTCAAAATAGTAATTATATAATTCATTTTTTTTTGGAGGATACAATTTCCATCTACCTATCCAATACCCATAAAATAAAAATTGTATGCATTTGATTAAATTCTGTTATTCCTTACAGCCACTTGTTTTTATTTTTGTTTTCAAACATGAAAAATGAAATTTTAAAAATATATATTGAAAGATACATCGCCCATTGGGTTTCATGTATCTCAGACAAAAAAAAAGAGGAAGGTTTAACTGGCATTGAGTTTACTTTAAAGTGAGAATTCATATATGCCCTAATTGTTGTTTCATTTCAAAATAATAAGAAAAAGAAACATTTCCTTTAACTCAACTCCAAAAAAATAAATATCTAAGACTCCTAAATCATAACTGCTTAACAAGAACATTACCTTGCCCACTTAAAAAAAAACCAAGGTTATAGTGAGGCATCCACATTATAGAATTATCTTGCTATAACTTGATATTCTTATGATTAATACTAAATCAATATTCAAAGTGATAAATCTAAATGTCCAAACTATTAAGGCCAGGACATTTTGTGCTTTTCTAAAATATGCCAGACCCTCTTGGCATCAGTTTCATTCTAAAACTTAAACCACACACACACATACACACACACACACACACACACTCACACAAACACACACTCAAGTAAATCAATGGATAATGCACAGATAGCAGTAACTGAACTAATTGATATTACTAAGAGTTCTGGATTTCTAAGTCATCTATAACTTTCTGTCAAGTTTTTGTGTGTGATTTTATTCATTAGATGCCTGAATTTGATTAGATAACCCTTTGACATTGCATGATTTTTATCTAATATAATGCAAATGTAGGTGACCTGCTGTTTAAGTCAGAAATAATCTATTAAAAACTTGTTGCTGAAGATGTGGATCAGGAATATTGTTAACCTACAGTTTAAATTCTAAGAACATAACTTCCAAAAATGTCTTCCACAGAAAACTGGTGAGCTTTGACCTGTAACTAGGTATTCCAAAACGAAGAGTACCATGCACAATTGCATTTAGAAAAACAAATACAAGTCATTTGACAGGTTTCATTTAAAATGCTACCATATTAATTGGGAGACCCATGCCATTTGACCAGGTAATTCTTTTTTTTCACAGAATACTACTCAATAGTCCATGATCTGTCTCATGCAGTAATTGAAAAAACATTGCTCTAGAAACATATGTGTTTCCATGAAGAGGAACCTCAATTGATCCATAACTATAACTTAGTTATAAATCTGGTTGCCTATCTGTCAACCTGCTCGGAGTAAGTGGATCAGGTAACCACACACAATCAAAGCAGGAGCCAAAAAACTGAGGGGAGTACAAAGCGAAGGGCATATTAAGTCCATGGCCTCCCAGGGTTGCTTCAAAGACTGCAAGTGAGCAAAGTTGGGGGTGGGGACAGGGCACTGGGGCGGAGTGGTGATGAAGCCTCTATGACAGCTTTAAAGCCAAACACAGAAGAAGCTCATTTCCTAAAAAGAAGATCTTTATGCAAAAATTAAAATAAGATACAACCAATAAAAGCATTATACTTTCTCCTCTATAATAAACCATTGGCACATCTTTCCATACCAAATCCCACAAAAAAAAAAAAAAATGCAGGTTGTGGGCTAATACTGACTGCTTTTATACAGTCGAAATATTAATATTAAGATTTTCAAAAATTTTATTCATCTACTTTCAATGTTTAAGTCTATAGATAGAAATTATATACAGCTCAAATTATATGTTCTAAACTACAGTACAGTGAAATGGAATTAGACAGATATTAAGTCTGGGTCCGTAACAATAAAGTAACTCCAGTCTTGGCCCAAAAATGAATGAGCACAAGAGGATGCACGAAGAAATAAAAATCTAAGGTCCAGAGGCAAAGCCAATTCAGAAACCAATGAATAAGAGAAAGAGAAAGCAAACATCTGAGAAGCAAGCAAAGCAACTCACCACCTTTGCTTAATTTCTCTCCAACATGACTTAATTGGCCATGTTGTG